CCTCCTGTCCTCACCATACAAATGTTACTGCAAATAGTAGACTCATCCTAAAAACACTACTCACTTTTGGTTCAACATATATACTTAAAAACTGATTTCCAATAATACCCAGAGAACTACTCCCCAGATAAAAATCAGGCAACTTTCCAAACTTACTTCATTAAATAGAAAAGATCCCCCAAACCGTGACAGTACACACCCCATAGGTAAGAAAGACAGCCAGTGTGCAAAGCCAATTACTAAGCAGGAATCAAGATGTGCAGAGATGTATCACAAATATCTTAAAATCTAAAATCTGCTTACACCTGTCTGGCTGGAAAACATACAGCGAGAGATTCAGATAGCAGGCAAGGGAGCCAAGGGACTGTACATTCCCTGGAGAGAGTACAGAATGCACTGACTCTGGACCGAGAAAACAGATATCTCAGCAAAATAGCTTAGTTTTTGCAAAATCAAAGTTTGGGATTAAGTTTTTGGTAGAGAGAAATAAGTTTTTCCCCCCTTCTTTTTTAATCAAAACTTTTCACCTTATTACTGTTTTCATAAAAAAATTAATTTCAGGCAATGATCCTGAACAAAAATTAGTAGTAAAGAGACTTAAGCAAAATTGATCATCAGTTTTTGTAGACTTTAAGTATAACAATAAGATAAAAATTGATTGCACAGTTTAAGGTTTCCATGCTGTCTTGAGCAGATTTTACCACAAAATACATCCAAGTTGTCAAACTGCACTCGGTCTTTAATTCTATACCCACTTTTGGTCAATACACTTTGCCTAAAGCAGGGCAGCTTTCTCAAGAATAGAAACCTTATCTAATTACTATAGATTAATTCGATCTGTTGTATAACAAATATCCTCAAAATATGAAAGTCATTCATCAGGAAACAAGAATGGGAGCATTTTCCATTGGGTGAATCAACATGATCACTTCTGAGACCTCCTCTCTTCTTGGCTGAAGAATGTTCCTCTTTCATAAACTCGTTCCTCTTTCATAAACTCAACCGTCTCTGCATTGTAACAATTATAAAACTTTATTGGTCTATGCCAGATTCAGGTTTATAAAAGTTGTAGTACTGAGATAAAGAAAAAAGTTGGTTTCTTTACCCTGTACTTAGAGGGGTTTTATTTCCTCTACATGGTCTGTTGGAAGCATTGGGCACTTAACATACTTTTTTTCAGCACCTGGCATTGAACCTGCATGCATTAGAAGGGGGAGGGGATCCAGATTTAGGTGTAATTGCAATGTAAGACTGCATTCCCACAGATTTAGATCGATCCATCTGGATCAACCTAACTCCCTGAGGGTTCACGCTAAATTGCTGTCAGCCAAGCGCGCACGGAAGTCAATTACCCCCTTACAGCTTTTAGTAGGCGGGACAGACATTAAAGCCGCTAAGCTGACAGTTAGTATGAGACTCCCCATGGGGATAGATCGATCTAAAATCTGTGGGAATACAGTCTAAGTCTGGGGATAATATTGGGAATGAGGCACATTCTTATATAATGAACAACTGATATTCAGGATGCAGCAATCCTTGGCCAGACAGTACACTGCTATACATCATGAAATAAGTGCATTTATTTCTCAGTTCCAAATATTACCCCAATTCTGCAGAGGCACAGAACGATAATCAGTATGGTAATATCAGGATTTATTCATAAATAACATGATTTATTACTGTGCACCATAATAATCTGTGTAAATTCAGCAAGTCAAAAGATTCTTATTTCAACAAAGAAGAGATTTCTGTATGTCACTGTGCTTCATACCTACTTGACAAAAGAATATAACATACATCTTCCCTACTGCCCTTTTGAAAAGTTTTGTTTATCATTTACATCAAGTACAAAGCTGCATCTCACCAACTGTCAGCAGACATATCATGTGTCTCCTACTGGAACAACAAAAATAGAAAGAAAAACACATCCCTCAGCATGGCCATAGTCTAGCCACAGGAAAAGTGGATTATGTCTGCTTAGCAAATCTTGTTGGCTGCTCTATGATTTGACTTAACTATTCACAACATCCTCACAATGACTCATTTAAGGGCTAAAAGGTCTTTTTAATTTTCAAATCCCCCAAAATTTTTTTGTGTCAACAAGAAACAGTACAGCATCACGAGATATTCATTCCTCAAAGAACAGTTATTTCTGGTTCTGCAAGTGATGTTTGTAGCCAAAGGATATTGCCATTACAAAGTTCCTCTCCCATTGCTAATTGAAACTACTGTTGTTTGTTATTTGTACAGTGCTATCATACTTGGTAACTGTGGTAGCCTTAACTGGCTACAATTGAAAAGTTGATTGCTTCATCACAGGCTGTGGACCAGGGGTGCAGATTAAGCTGTTACCAATTTCTATCAAAGAGTTAGACCTAAATATCAATTCCTGCCACACATCTCATAATTAGCACCATTCTCTCTTCTTTTCCCTATATATATATATATATACTTTTTACTGCTCAACACCTTCAGGAAACACTTCTGAACATGTTCCCTTTCCCCACAAACTTACACTACACAGATGTTATGTTTTCAGTCAAAGAATGATACTGTATACAAACACTGGCTACAATTGTTTAAAAACATTAACTTTATCACCCAGACAACCTCAAAATATTTCCAGTTATTACTGTCATCAAAGCTGAGTTGCATATCTGTTCATTTTTAAACACCCTTCAAGTTCCAATAATGTGATTTCCTCAGTTATAAAATACCTCAAGCCCAAATTCAGATACATAAGATTAAGACTCAATTCCAGAAATTAAGACATGTCTTTGTCTTGGTGACCTTTCAATGAGAAGCATTTAGCATAAGGTTTAATAATAAAGCAGCAAAGCAATCAAATGTACAGAGAACAAGAGAGAAAAATAATCCAATCAAGTAGTTTGCCAATCTGAGCTGTATGTCAATCATTCTTGTGAGTTACAAAATAATAAGTAACAAAAGTACTTAAATGTGCTATTTTCATTTTCAACAGTTACTACATAATACATAATAACCAATTTTAAAGACCTACATTTTATGAATATTCATCGGTGCTGTAAGTTAAAAGTCAAAAGTTAAAACAGTTTTCACTTTATTTATATAATGGTGGATATAATATGCTGAAAAAGAAAAAAAACAGCATAACTTTTGAGAAAATGGTCCAATCAGACTGATTTTCAAACTCGACCTGTATTTTATTAACATTCATCAGTTCTATAAGCTTGAAGACAAATGGTAGAACGGTTTACAATTTATATAACACTGAAAGTGCCCGGCAACTGCAGCAACAACAACAGACACAGGACGGTAATATGTACAGACGTGTGTCTGTACATAGAAAATAGTAAAACTCCTGACTTCAAGGGCATCCATTCCATTAGTGCAGGCAGACTTATCATCATATAAAGCATAAGATAATTTTTAATGTAAAAAAAAAAAAAAAAAAAAAACAGATTGGGTATCAAAGGCAAGAATGTGCCATCCTAAAGAAGCTTCTATTCTTGTGATATTTTCACAAGTACCTTCTAATAAAGTACAAAGGTTCTGGCACTTGATTCCTCAGGCAGCCTCTTCAGTAGCAAGCATGTGCACAGGTGTTTTCAATCATCCCCTGTCCTTCAAAAGTTATTGCTAGCAAACTCCCACAATGAAATGAAGGTTATCTAACACTTTATTCTTTTCAGATCTAGCTCTATTGAAAATGAAAGCATGTAAATATTAATTCTGTGAACCTGACTTGATGAATCACGTTTCAATTTTCTGCTTTTTGTTTCCTTAAATTTACAGCCATGTCTGCAGTTTTTTTAACAATCAAAGCAATTTTCTTCACTTCTTCATATTCCACAAATATGGGGGAAAAAAAGAGCCGCAACAAAGTCCCATCTTAACTACCATATAATTCAACTTGGTTTGAATATATAAGGGGCAATGGGAGAAAATTGTGTGGAATAACCACTAGAATAGTTAGCGATTGAAAAAAATATGGGTTTGTTTTTATTTTCTTTTAATATATCATCATCATCATTCCTCTTCGTCCCGTGTGGGACATAACGCCACTCTTTTAATATATATATAAGAGTATATTTCAAAGACACCATCAGTGACAATCAGCCTACATCTCCCGCTTAAAACATGTAGGACTTCCTGGGCCAATTTCATTTTGATCAATGAAAAGGCAATCATTATCAAAACTGACTCCATATGTCTGTTTTCAACACTTAAGGTCATCAGCTGAAATAACTGAAAGTGTAATCATTACCAAGTGCATACTCCACAATTGTATAAATCAGTGAGTAAAGCCAGGCTGATATAATACGTGCTGAATGGAGGAGAGATTCAGGATATTCAGGGGTGTAGCAATAGTCCGAAAGTTCACTATAGAATCTTCGGACCAATGAATCCTTGATTAAAAAACTGATAAAAATGTTACCATTTTTCGGACCAATGAACTTTCTTCGGACTATCGAGACGCCCCCAAATATTACACTTCAGACATATTGGGCATTCCACGGTAAAAATGATACCCAACTTTCATTCAACTTTCATTCAGGCCTAGGTAACATCCTTGAGATGAACAGCGTGACACTGCCAGGTCTTTTAAAAATTATTTACTCCATCGAACTTTGTTCAGGATAATAACCTCTCTTAAAAAGTCAATTCAGAATCAGTTTTATGTTCACAAATAACGCACTGCTTGAAGCAGCCAAATAAGGACAAAATGTACGCGTGTAATTTCAATCTAAATGACATCAAATTTTCCTTAATTTAAATCTACTGACTTCCAATTTGCTGCTGTCTAAAATGCGTTGACCATGTGTTTGAAGAACAGGGAGATTGACATCCGAGTACCTCGAAAGATTTGTGGCTGTTTCAGTAAAAAGAACGTTTTTAAGGCTTGAGTGAAATATGAGGCAACAACACCGTCACGCCTCATTTAAAAAGTGACTGGGAGCGGGAGCAAATGTCAAGCCACAAAACAATCAAAGAAACACTCACAGTGCACGCTGACTTACCTGCCAAAGTCGACAAAATGCTCCCCAGCAGCACCATGCTTCCAACTGTAAAACGCCAAAGAAGTCCTTTCCCCATTCTCTTTCTACAAATCCTCTCGAACAACAGTACACTGGATTTCGTCTGGGCGTTCGAAGTCACAGCGGTCGTTTCAGAAATCACACAGACACCTTCGCGGTAAAGTTGCTCAAAATACAACCCCTAAATCACTCGGCCATGTTGGGCTTCCAGATCTATCACGTGGGTTTCTTGGGCGAAGAGACTTCTCCAAAAGGGGTGAATGGGTGGATTCAATCGTAACCCTTTCCGATACTAAGATACAGTTCTTCAAAATGTCAAATGTATTTCATTACTTCTTGGGCTACCATAATGCATTAAAACTCTTATATGAAAGGTGGAAAGTTTCAGAGTATTTTGAGAAAACTTTCTTGAAAGCTGCTCACCATTTGTAGTTCATTAGACCTGCCCGAGGTAGCTCGTGCAGACGACAAGTTTAGACAATGTTGCAAAAGTGGGGTGAAAAGTTCAAGGCGTCCAGAGGGGGGGGGGGGGTAAATGGAGGATTGTTTGTTTACCAAAATTTCTGACATGAATTATATAACATACTTATAACCTAAATGTTGTATCGTTATAGCTCTTCCATTGGAAAAAAAGCTTTTTCAGGAAAAACAATGGGTAAGAAAATTATAACATGACAACGCGGGCTTTTTTTTCTATAAAATAGGCTTTTGGACTTTTTGTAGCCTACAATGTTGGTTCCTTCTCCATGCTACTCAACCAGAGACTTCTTTATTTTCAAAACGTCAATATACCATGATTGTTTTACGCTTCTAAAGTACATTAGAAGTATTTGTCGTTCCATTAATTAATTCAATTAGCTTGGAGACATAGTCAATTTTTATACAGATCTAGCTTCCTTTAAGAAAAGTAGGCCTATTGCTTTGGCGAAATCCACGTAAATACATTTTACTTCCTCTTTTCGCTTTTGATTTTCTTCACGAGAATTTAATTAATATCAAGACACATCAATGCAACTTCAACGCTAATTATACAAAAGGTGTATTGCATCGGTCTGAGCTTCAGAGATTACAGGGAACTAAACCGTATAGGCCTACCTTCAACATGCTTTTGTCGCTTTTAGTCATATCGGAAAATCGTATAAAGACATTACAGGTTTTACTGTCCCCCTCCATAACCTTTCGCACAAGCACCTCCATCCTAATATATAAATAACGTGATTTGTGAAATTGCACACATGAATAGATTACACGGGGGGCGTCTCGATAGTCCGAAGGTTCATTGGTCCGAAGGTTCATTGGTCCGAAAAGTGGTAACATTTTCATCGATTTTTAAATCAAGGGTTCATTGGTCCGAAGGTTCTATAATGAATATTCGGACCAATGAACCTTCGGACTATTGCTACGGCCCCGATTACACGTGGGATTACCAAAGGGATTCTGTCGTATCTCATGAGTTTCTTGCGTTTGCAAATAATTAAAATGATCGGAGATGCCATTGGAAAATGTGGACATTAACAATATCGTTAATGCTACAGGTGAGACAGCCTCCAGTGCTATGTGTTTGATGTGTCTGGCACATTCGAGCACAATGACTAACAATGTTTTATTTTGAAACAAGTTGTACAGAACACGAGGAAGTACATTAGGAACAATTGTGAGTACAACTTTTAGTCCAGAAAACTTTTCATTGAAGACAAGTCAGTCGATAAAGCGATGCAATCATGTAGGCCTATTAGCATGGTCTACTTTTAGTGTGAACTGTACTAAAACAGGTGTTAAAATAAATTAACACATGAAATCACACTGAATACCAGAAAACTCGACGTAGTAAAATGTCTACAGACACGCTGTTAGGAGACCAGTGATCACTGCAAGGAACCGCTACGTCGAGTCAGATGGTAAAGCAGAATTTTGGCAAGGACACCGGCCAACAACTGGGTAATGGTACTGTTCCCAGTTTAAAGTGTTATCAAAAACGATGGACGCGTTAGGGTTCAAATAAAAACAGCTGGAAAGAAGTGCCTTTCAAAATTTTCTGCCTCTGGCCGACAAGACACACCCCACATAAGTCATGGTATGGGGTGTATTGGCTAGCTATGGTGTGGGCAATCTGGTTTTGGTCTATGGGAAGCCTTAGACTGCATTCCCACTAATTTAGATCGATCCATCTGGATCGACCTAAGTCCCTGGGGGTTCACGCTAAATTGCTGTCAGCCGAGCGCGCACTATAGTTAATTACCCCCTTACAGCTTTTAGTAGGCGGGACAGACATTTAAGCCGGTTAAGCTGACACCAATCTAGTGAGACTCCCCAGGGGGATAGATCGATCTAAAACTCTGTGGGAATGCAGACTTAAAGCAGAACATCCGAACTTTGGAAAGGAACTTAAGGGTAGTAGTAGTAAAACGACCAAAGGCATAGAAACAATGGCCTATTCTTATAGGTTTTTATAAAAAAAACATACTCCCCAAAGGCCAATTTAAGACAGAGATGAAGTGCAGTGTCCAACGGATGACGCTGTACATATTTTTGGGGAAAAAAATACCGTTATCGGTTTTGGATTTTCTCCATGACCAAGACAGCTATTTAACTGATTCAAACGAGGTGAAAGCACTCCAAAAGGAAACCAGGGGATAGTCTTAAGCTATTTCCTTTTGATTTGATCGTCTTTTATGTTAAATTACCCCACATTTCAATGGGTTATTCACTTCAATAGACGGTAACTTTCAAACAAACAATTTCCTCCAAAATCCCTGATATCCATATCTGTAGTCTTGATCCACATCTGGACAGGTCCCTAGCCTACTGATGCCGAGTAGGGTGTCAAGGATATGTAGTAGGAAGCGCTAACAAAGGCGATTACGTTTAACCGCAATTAAGAGGAGAAAGAAAGTGTCGAGAGAAAGAGGCCGTCACTCGTGTAAATACGAGTTTTTGACAGGTAACGCTGCAGGATTGTTTTCACGGCGCTTGGTAGTTGTATATGAAAGGTAAAATGCAAGTAAATGCAAATAAGGCATATTTTATTTTTACACGCATCTCACTAATATGCATGCTTTTTACCTGGTTAGTCTTGACCATTTTCGTGGCTCCCTAATTTCAAGAGGGGACCATTGGTGTTTTTTNGGTTTTGGATTTTCTCCATGACCAAGACAGCTATTTAACTGATTCAAACGAGGTGAAAGCACTCCAAAAGGAAACCAGGGGATTGTCTTAAGCTATTTCCCTTTGATTTGATCGTCTTTTATGTTAAATTACCCCACATTTCAATGGGTTATTCACTTCAATAGACGGTAACTTTCAAACAAACAATTTCCTCCAAAATCCCTGATATCCATCTGTAGTCTTGATCCACATCTGGACAGGTCCGTAGCCTACTGATGCCGAGTAGGGTGTCAAGGATATGTAGTAGGAAGCGCTAACAAAGGCGATTACGTTTAACCGCAATTAAGAGGAGAAAGAAAGTGTCGAGAGAAAGAGGCCGTCACTCCTGTAAATACGAGTTTTTGACAGGTAACGCTGCAGGATTGTTTTTACGGGGCTTGGTAATTGTATATGAAAGGTAAAATGCAAGTAAATGCAAATAAGGCATATTTTATTTTTACACGCATCTCACTAATATGCTTTTTACCTGGTTAGTCTTGACCATTCTCGTGGCCCCCTAATTTCAAGAGGGGACCATTGGTGTTTTTTTTTTTTTTTTTTTTTTTTTCAGAAATCGAAGGGGGGATCAGGACACTGTTTGGAGTTGATAACATTAAACAATACTTTATTTGCATTGATGTGTTGCTGTGAGCGCTTTACATAATTTTTCATAAAACTGTTTTGGAAGAACCAGTCGCGAATGTTGCAACAATTTCATGGATATCACGCAAGGGGAACGGTGGAGTCTAGCGTGAGAGTGCTCTAGCACCAGCTATATATGACACCCTCGCTAACAACGCACTTCCACATTTACAGCGTTCTTCAACCTGAAAAGCTTTAGCTGTTGGTGGCTGCAGACGCCCTGGCCTGTACGTTGGCGACGAAGCTGGCAAACGGCGTTCATTCAACGTAAAAAGAATTTAGGAAAAAAATTAATTGTACATTGCGGGGTAGCCTAATATCTGTAGAGATGGGGGTCAAAGTGTGTAAACGTCGGAAAAGGACGACCTCGCTGCTGTTGCTGAGGCTATTGGCGACTGCTACATTTGTCAACATTTTACTGCGTCTTTTTGAATTCGAAGGTAAGCATATGTTCTAGTATTTTTACACATGCAGTGCGCATGATATCGTGCTTATGGATATTTTAACAGGTTACCTTGGTGATGGAGCTAAAGCAGACGGTCTCTCAGCTGGAATCACATGTAATTAAACCCTGAATTTATACTTTACGTATGATTGAATGTTTATAGTCATCCATTAGAATAGGAATGAAATTTATGAATAACTCTGATAGGAACTTACCTTTAACAACTGACCGACGTTATGGTCTCAACCCGAGATACTTAGCAGATGGATGGATGGACTGGTCACCCTATCTATCATTAGTTGACAAGCTAACTAATTGCTGATGCTCTTGGTCAACTACCATGTCTGGTAGTTGACCAAGAGTTCGTTAACAAAAAAAAACTTGTTGATTACGCACCGCCGCACTCCCCAAGCCAGGTAATAACGGTTAAACCACGGCTAGCGCGTAGAACAAAAGATTTGGCCGTGCTGTATTCGACATACAAGCACGTCATGTGCGAGTGCGTTTTACGGCTGTTGCACTCCCGTTACTCACTAGTGTAGAGCCAATCGGAGGCCGTGGTTTAAGCCAGATACAACACTCGTCGCCGAGCTGTACATGAAAATTACTTGTGTATTGTCTCGCCTGTGGCTCGACAATACGCTCGTAATATTCCACGTACAGTTTGGCGACTCTTACGGTATCTATCTGTCAGATTCTTGGTGGGCTTTAATATTTTTTCAATATACCTCTTTTATTCCATGGGGTAATGTTATTGGTATTTGTAAATGACGTTTAACACTAAGTGAGTTCAAACACGGTCGCGAACCCTCGGGATATTTTGACGCATGCGTATGCCCAGGCATTACTTCTGTGGAAGAAAACGTGGTTGAGGAAAAAAACTCGAAAAAAGAGCGGTAATATTATAGAAAAAAATAAATAAAATGGGAACAGCTGCAATTAAATGGTTTGTAATCCTAATTCGTTACACGATATAAAGTGTTGTGTGCTTTGAGAATT